ATAATGCATATGCTGCGGTATGCTGGAAACACTTGCGGAAATTTCGAGTGGTTTACGGCACCTCGTCAGCCTCGTGTAAAGTTTACGTAAATTTTAGCTTGATGAATCGCACCTAAAACGACCTCGCTTGCGTACTTGGTACTAAATAACTGCGTTGATAAATCGCAACTAATTGCAACGTCGATTGCGTACCCCTGCTCGCGCAGAAAACGCATCTGAGTGGGTCTAATTTCAAAATTTTAGACCAGACCCCCCTTTCGCGTGCTCGCAAATTTTGGTTACGGTTAGACCCCCCCCCCCCGGTACAAATCCTGTACACGCCCCTGGTTTCGCCCCCCCCCTAAGAAAATACCCTGGCGCCGCCCCTGAATACATTTACATTTAATTAATAAGATCAGGGGTTAATAATGACAAATGTGCACACGTGAAGCGTGCGCAGAAGGGTGGGTTCGGGAGCTCTCTATCTCTTTTCTCTCTCCTTCCTCACTTTCTCTCTCATTTTATTATATGTGGCGTCAAAAAGTGGTAGTGCTCGAGCCCCTTTACCTCCCCCCCCTCCCCGTTCCACGGGCACTGTACTGTCACACGGCTTACACACGGCGAAGTTTTCATATAACGGAGTGCATTTGGTGTTATATTAGTTTGTAAAGGGTTGTTTGCATTTTTCAGAGCTGGATGTTGATCTTCCGTCATTCCCCCCACATCTACATGGCAAAATAAGGCGACAGGTCATCGCACATGGCAACAGAGCCCCCGAAATGGTCATTAAACAGGAGCCAGGTACTAAAACATTAATGATACCAGTGTATCATGTAGCACGTTAATTGTGACCTGCTGTTGATGAGCTATTTATGAGCAGCAAAGTCCAATGCATGGCATTGGAAAAACCCTTTGTTATCATTATGGCTAAGAGCTCACACGGTATTATCAAAAATCATGTTTCTTGATTGTATAGCTGCTGTAGTTGTCACAACTACTAGCTACTACAACAACTAAACACTGATGCAACTCGCCTACTTGGTGTTTAGTATGGTGCATATATTCACATCGTACTGGAAGTACAGGAGTGAGAGCCGCGCATCTAAAAATGAGAGAATGTAAGATTTCTCATTCATGTACCCCTGATCGTATCATGCATGACCTATCATTCCACACGGGTGTCAGTGACCTTCGGCTAGACTGGGGGAGTGACAGGTTAAGCAGATAAGAGGTTCTCATACCCACAGCTAGGTTGCTAAGAAAACCAGCTGAGGCCATGCAGTGCATGAGTTGTAAAGCTTCTTGTTATCCTTCAGGCGAAAGCAAAACTGTGACAGGAGTCTGTGTGATATTACATGGAGTGCCATAATATCAAGAGCTAATAATACGTATTATTAGCTCTTGATAATATAGACACATAGTCTATATTATGACTCTCCTGATGTTACTGCATATCTGTGTTTTCTGCCCCTCATTTCATCACTAACACTGTGTGTCGTGGTTACAGCCCTATAGACTGAAGGCCCGATAGACCGAAGGTTTATTCGAATACGCAGTTGCTACACGTCCGGAATCGGTCGCCTAGCCTCCAGGCTACGCATTCAGACATCCACTGATGCCGTATTCGAACGTGAATATGCCGCACATCCACCGATGCCACTATAAACCATATATATGCCCTAACCCTAACCCTAACCCTAACCCTAACCCTAACTCTAACCCTAACCCTTTGCAATATTCGGTCTATAGGGCTGACCCCGTGTGTCGTTACTCTATGTCTGTGCTCCCGGTCCCTCATTTCATGACTAACACAGCCAGTGGTCTGTGTTATGTGCCTGCATATATGTGCTGTCTGCCCTTTATTTCATTGCTAAATAACATGGACAGCAATCTGTGGGATGATCATGTACGTCTGGGGGCTCCATGCCCCTTCCTTCAGTGTGCATCCAAACTACAATCTTTAGAAGGCGGCCCTGTAGGGCTGCACTTCCTGCTTCTCTGTCCCGTTTGACTGTGATAAGGTTCTACTGGCATTCTAGTGAACAACGCGGTCAAAATACTCGTGTAGGATATCCGGATCCGGATTTATACAGGTGTGGATATCTTGCGGCTTCGGCAGTCAGTGGTTGTAGACATAAATAAATAGAGGGCGTGAATGAGTATCCTCACCATTATCACTAGAATCCTGTACAACTGCATAGACATGGGCGTGTGCATGTATGTTTATGATAAGGACGTCACGCAAACATCTGTGCCGCATGTCTAGTGCTTGTGGTTGAGTGTGAAATGTTGGTCTATATCCTATATGTTGTGAACAAACGGTGCTGTCCGTTAGTGCTAGTCAAATGCCTTTGGATCCGTTTAGGTGTTTTCCATATATATATGCAAAATTGCTTTATAACTCAGGCGGCTGTTTACAGAGTGCACAGCTGTAACAAGCATAAATTGTCGGCATGTCTATATCTTTCTATGCAGTACCATGGCGGATCTAGCGCCCCCCCCCCCTTCAGCCACTGACTAATGTTATGATACTAGTAAAATGGGGCCAAAAAAGTCAGTCTGCAGGCTGATAGAAACTAGGAATTTTCCCTGTGACTACACAGCTGCCTGAATTTTCCAGGTTGGAGGGGGGCGTGCCCCCGGACCACCCTATAGTACCGCGCGTGCACCTTCGGCACGCCCTCACTCAAATATCCCCCCCCCGTCTCCTGAAAGCTAGATATGCGCCCCTGTAGCTCTACCTACAGCTACAAACGGCACGATAATGTTATCTTCCCCCATATATGAAGGCATTATTCCAAACAACTTTACTATCTTTTACAAGTAATTTCTCATCTTACACATTATGTACAGTGCATGTGCCCAACAAGAATGGGTAGTACTTGACTCTGGCTACGAATTATATGATACGAATGCCATATTGATAGAATGAAACTGTACACGCACTGAAATATTCAATAGGCATCGGTTCACGTTATAAGTTATTAGAGTCGAATCCCGAATGTAAGTATACTGACGAGACAGATCATCCAACGAAATCTTACACATTTTTCGACGTGTGTATAGGCAGAGCAAGGCAGAGCGGGGCGATTATTTGGCCGGCTGCCAGTTGCAGGGAAAACCTGGTGATGTGGAAGTTTTGACGCTTGCACAATCCTGCTGGCAAATTAGACTGGCTCAATGTGCCTGTCCGTGTTCAATCTGAGCCTCTAACCAAGCTCATGTGATGCCTACGGCGACTTGTGGGGGCCAGTCCAATGGCAAATTGCAACCCCCACAGAAACGGCGGGCTCACTAAGTAATATATGAGTTAAAAAAAAAATCACTGGTTGGCAAGCTTCTGTGCATAATGCTAATTAAATCGTCATCATCAGCAGCAGCAACAGCAGCTAGAAGCGTCATTACTTGCGTGCGCCTCTGTATCATTGTCACTAGCTTTAGGTAACAGCTGCTATCTCACGATTTATGAGTACATGTACCTACGCAGGTATATAATACCTGTTGAGCGTCATATCTCACTATTGCTTACAATTATGCAAATGACAAATACTGAGTGGTTGAAACACACCCTGCTTGATATAGTCATATGGTGTAATATAAGGTAGCAGTTGGCGGCGAGTGATTCATAGCAATTGCATGTCTTGGGTTAGAACACAAAATGAAGTAATGTGTCTACAACTATAGCCCGCAAATACATATAAATCTGTAGTCAGTGTCTATGTGTTTTGTATGTCTTCTTTTCACGAATTTGTCTTTTGGGTCTGTAAAGGTCATAAATTATTGATTGATTATTAAAATATAATACATCAATCACCATATAGCTACCACAGTACATCATATCAAGAGCGTATAAAGAAGGTACATGTCGTGTTGGTGCATGTTTAGTTGGAAACTTGTTTGCAGTACTTTATAGTCGTACAAGTAATATTTGAACAGGTTAATTCAGCTCATCTGGCACGTTCAGTCTATTTGACAAGATATATTAAATTTGTTGTGGACACTTTTTCTGTAGATCTATATATTAATAATCTTCTGTCGACGTGTGCACGTGATTTTCTCCATGCATTAATTCTTCTGCATTATCAGCAATCATTGAGCACCTACCTACCCAATACCCATGCATAGAATAGCCAGTATCAGAGTCTGCCTTGCAGTGTGGAGGAAGATATGAATGTCACAAAGATGTTCCACTGTTTAATCAGCAGTGATACTGATTAAAGATAAGCCATTTACCAAAGTGTGGAGGGGGCAAATTTTGTTGGCTGTTTTTGTTTGTTTTTGTGTTTTTCAAATGGCTTTACAATCAGTGGCAGTGCAGATTATGCTATGTGTGTTTACGTGACATTTTATGTTTTCTACTGAGCTATATATGCACAGTAAATTTCTTTGTAAGTAATAGCTAGTAAAAATAGCTTTGCCACTGATAAATCAAGTCATCTCCCTGAGGTTTTAACCTGATTTGTAGTTAGTTGAGAAACTCTTCTCTTGCAGAAAGCCTACGCTTCACCCTCACACTTCTCCCGTCACTTTCACACTTGAAGCCATGGCATTTGCTTAACCTAATGTAAAATCTCTGTACACATTGTGGACAGCAATAATTTATAACAAATTGCATGTAGTCGCTAAATAATACAGACAGCTAGGTGATTGCTCAGGTGTGTACGCATGTGTGTGTGCGTGCATGCATGCATGTATGTATAATGTGTATGTATGTACTACCCGCTGTTCAGTTTGTGTTGATGTTGTCAGGCTGTGAGCTAGGAGGGCTAGCAATAAGTGGTAATAATTTGGTTGCTCTCAGTCTAAATTTTACATGACAGCTAGTTCCATCACTTTGGCCGATTGTCCCTTGAATAGCCCGAAACCCTGTGGATAATCAAATGAAATTTTGTCATTCATTGCAGCATAATAAATATGTTATAATGTATAACAGGTATTATGGTATCAAGATCTATAAGAGTCTTGGTGTAGTTTATGATTTAAAAAAAAAAGAGAAAAAGAAACTGGTTCGACGGGCCTGAAAGCTGTTGTTGTGCGGGGAGGGGGAAGATTCAGCCCGAATCCCAGCTCTTGCTAATTCTAATTATTAAAACCCTTTCACTGCGGGCTCAGACTGCGGGTCCCGGCCGCGTCTATTTTTTCCGTGCCACTAATGCGTAACGCTGTTTTATGGTGCCTTGTGACCCTAAACCTAAGGACGGGGATATTCGTCCGAGCAAAATATACACACAAGTACAAACAGTCAACCTAAACCAACCCTAACCGTAACACTAACTCTAAACCGACTCGGCTATCTTATATACGCGTGTCATAGTACCCAAATTAATCTATGGTGTATAACCTTTCGTAGTGATGCGCAACGATGCTCGGACGAATATCCACGTCGCTAACCCTAACTCTAACGCTAACCCATAGCGTTACGCATTAGTGCCGTTTACTAGCCGGGGGTGCTGGGGGTGCTGCAGCACCCCCTGTTTTTAGCTCATCTGACATAGTCAGATGCAGCTTGTAGAATCGCATGATCGTCTGTCCGTCCGTCCGTCCGTCCGTGCGAGCGTCCGTCCGTCCGTCTGCCGTCCGTCCGTCCGTCCGTCCGTCCGTCCGTCAACAGTTGGGCACAAATCTAAACGGCTCGACGTACGGTCACGATATTCGGGACGTGGGATGGGTAATCCGAAAACGAGTTGGGATGTCGAAGCTGGGGGTCAAAGGACAAAGGTCAAGAGGTGTAAAAGAAGGGGGAACATTCCCTCCTTAAC